GGCGGGGGGGGGGTTGGTGCTGCCTGGAGCAGCCGGGAGCGACGGCCGCGCTCCTTAGAGGCGCCCCCTCAGCGGAGCGGAGCCCGGGAGGGAGGCCGGCGCCCAGGCGCTCGGCTTCCCGCGGCGGCCTCGGAGGGGAGCGAAGCTACGCTGAGGTGAAGGAAATCCCGCTCCTGCTTGCCGCTTTATCTTGCTGTTTAAGGATAGAGGGAGCGCATCGCCCAGTTTGATCCAAGCACCGGTAGGAAAGAGAGGTAAATCTGGGCTTAGAAAAGGAGGACGAGCGTTAAAGCCACATTAAAAGGAAGTAGGGGAAGGGGGAACCTTAACATCGAAGTCTTCCCTCGGTAGGACTTTTATTAAGTCACTGTCTACATTGAATTTCATATCTTGCTGTTTAAGGATAGAGGGAGCGCATCGCCCAGTTTGATCCAAGCACCGGTAGGAAAGAGAGGTAAATCTGGGCTTAGAAAAGGAGGACGAGCGTTAAAGCCACATTAAAAGGAAGTAGGGGAAGGGGGAACCTTAACATCGAAGTCTTCCCTCGGTAGGACTTTTATTAAGTCACTGTCTACATTGAATTTCAGAACAGATCCTCCAGTGACGCTTGTTCTGTTGTTTCATTTGTCTGGGCCGTTCAGAAACAGAGTGTGTTTTCTGGCTGCACAGACGTTTCTCTTTATTTATTCATGCTGGGTCTCTGCATGCAGCTGCTGTGGAGGTCAGTGGGATTTCCAGGGCAGGAGAAAGGCTCCGCTTGTGCTAGAAGCACGGACAGAGGCTGGAAGGCGCCTGCCCTAGGCAAATGGCCTGTGGACAGTGGGGTTTTAATGCACTGCCCCTTAGGCAGCTTCTTTGAAAAGCTCAGTTATTATTCTTCAAAGTTAACTGCTGGGAATTGTCTCGAAGGCAAATTTTCCTTATAGCCTATAAACTACTACCACTAGGTTGCGTTTGCGTAATTGGGTAGGTTGATGTTAGTCCTGAATCAAGCCAGTGGCTCCGGAGATCAGAGTCCAGCCCTCTGTCATTGCGGCGACGCTGGCAGAGCCCGCTGGTTTTTTGCTTGTTCCCATAGAGATATGAGCACATTTAAATTGGCAGCTGAGTATCATAAGCTTGACACTTGGATTTAATTAACTTTACATCTGTCTGGATACCCAAAGTGGCTAAAATGGCCCTGAGCCGGGGCTATAAGACAGCAGGAAATTGAGGTCAAGGCCCAGAAGCAATTTTCAGGGTTCAGCATGAAGAAAATCAGTTACACCCAGACAAAAACAAGTCTGCCGTATGCTCTTTTCTGGGTCACCTTCTTCCCTCTCTCTGGATTCCTGTCCGCATCTCGGGGAAATCAGTGAAAAGACCCTTGGAGAGTCCTAAATAAAACCTATAGCTATTAGAGCACAACGTGGAATATTTTGGCTGTCGTTGGAGAAGAGAAAGTGTAAGATTATGCATATGAGATCACACTTTGAGTTTTATCAAGCACCTAGGATACGTGAATGGAACACCTGCTAGATGTGTTAGAACATGGTATTTCATAAAAAATATTGCTCCAAAGGGCTTAAAGTGGAGGCTTTTTTAAAGTTTTGAGCATCGAGATAGAAGACAAAGCCCGGAGTTTTGCATTTGGATTTATGCTGAAGGACTTTTAAGCTGGCACAAAGCCCGTTTGAAATCATTTGTGGCTGCATGTGGGTCCAGGGGCCTATTTGCCTGAATTCAATTGCAAATTAGGGTCTAAAAATGTTAAAAGGAAATGGCCAAGCTAAAACAGTTCTTTATAAAACAGCTACACTTACTGTATTTCATAATGACTAAGATGGATTTAATTAAAAAAATCTCTGTTTTTAACTGAGTAATGCTCTTTGTTTACTGTTGGAGCCATATGGGAAAATGGAAATAGGTTAGTCAGTACTGCTTAGAAACAGCTTTTATTCCTGCATACTAGTTCAATGCAAAATGCCGTGGATTGCTGATACTGCAGAGAGTTGTTAGAATCCAGCCGAAATAATCCGTGCAACTGAATTCTTAAAAAGATAGAAATAAGTATTCAATGTAATCTTTCGAGGAGGAGATCACTGGGAGAATCTGATGCTCCTCTAATTGCTTTTTTTATTCTGTTCACCCTCTGCAATTGCAATTGCTGTGAGAATTTGGGAGCCAGCACATCTAGGGTGTGGGATCTGACTGTCTGCAATCTATAGGAGTTTTCTCCCTTGTTGTTGGCGAGGGAGGGAGAACTAGCTTCTGCAATTATTGCCATCAGAATGATGAAAGTAAAAGTTTGAAATATGAATTCAGAGGCTGGCTGCCGCTGTTTTTTTTGCAGACCAAATTCCCACTGAGGTCTGAGGAGACCACTGCAGAATCTCATTTATTTTCCTAATTCACAGCAGCTGCTCCTGTGGAGATGGAGTGCGGGAATCAGTAGCTGAAATCAGAAGCTTTTATTTTATCAGCAACTTCTCAGGAGACCATGACATAAGATGTGAAAGGGATTTTTCAGTACTTAAAAGCCAAAGCAGAGCCTTCCGGTGGGCTCATGTGCTGGGGACCGGGGGTGACAGCATCCCTCCGGATTCTAGCAGCTGTTGGCTATGAAGATGCAGCAGGGCTGGCTTCAAATTGGCTACAAAAGTTGGGGATGATTGAGTAAAGGATGAGAGGAAATGAGTGAGTGCGGATTAAGCAGTGTGTGGTTTTGATTTCTTGGGCTGGAGAAGCAAAATTTTAGACCTCAGACCCTACAGAGTTGATTTCTGGTTGCTTAAACAACATGAACGCTTTCCAAGCAGGAGCCGTATCTAGCTGTGTTTCTAGGTGGAGTAGTTTGCGTACCTGTAGTCTAATCGGAGAGAGATGACTGGCGGATCGTCACCACTGACCAACCAGGTATTTCACCTGGAGAACAAGCAAAGGACCTTAAAAAGAAGTGACCTTAAATTCAGGCGAGCTTCTCTGAACATTCAGCCCTCAGCATGAAGGTTTGTAAGCAGGTTCAGAGAAGCAGAGAACACTTCTGGTCAATGCGCTGCACTGGATATGGATGGAAGCGACTGCATTTTAACTGGTGGTGTGAGGCCTGAGAGATTTCCAGGGACTTGATTTTGAAGCAGCAGTTCTTGGGAGTGGGGAAGGAAAGGAGTTTGGCACCCTTGCCCAGGAGGTGCCAAGGTGGATGGCTGACAAGAAAGCTTGGCAGAAACGCTTCAGCTCAGCTCAGCTCTAGGGATTGCCTGTTCCTGCTGTTATATTGCCTGTTCCTGCT